CTACTATTGATAAGGGAGTGGTGATGAGTGGTGCTTCAGTTAAGCCTTAGAGCCTGATTAATATACATATACTATAGTCCTGTTGCTGCGAATCAAGGGGCGTGTCAGGTGAGATGGCTGAGACGCGGCACAGGACCCGAAGAAATTCTCTGTTTGCTGCTGAAGTGACTAGACGGTTATATCGTTCGTATCAGCCGTTTTCCACTAACTGTTATCGCTTAGCCGCTTCAAAGAATGGTGAACAAGCGGTAAGGAGCCGCGCCAAAGCCATTCCTCCTGACAAGCCCCTTCATCCGAGGCGAACAAAACTGTATATCGCTCGAGAAGTAGAATTAAGCAGATTAGCGGATGCTGTCACGGAAACCCGTTACCTACCAATAATCGTCCCTTCCCTGTATGGTCCGTGAAACCAGTTCTGTGTTATTGTGACGAGCGGTATGAATCTGGAGTTTTCCTTCCTACAGCTCCTTATCGATGTTTGTTAGTTGTTATCAATACCTGTTGTCCACGAATAGTGGTCCCGTCGCATCCCTATATTACGTGAACTAACCTAAGATCTCGCTCTTACTGCGAAAGGCCATTTCCGAGCTCCACCCCGGTACGCAATTACCATGGATAACCTGCAAAAATTTTCAGCATAATTGCGGCACTTATTGTGACATTTTTCGTGTTCTACTTCATCGACTTCTTCATGCAAATGTTCACGGGAGTTACTACGATGTTAAGCGCTGACGCCTCGGTATCTGTTGCAGTGAGTTGCATGAAATTTCCCTAATTCTCATTCTCTTTCTCATCTATGGGTGCTTCAGTGCCATGGCCATATGAATGGACTCATTCTGAGCAGCTGCTCTAGGAGGTTATATAAACCTACACACAGTAGCAGTAAGAAAAACTTGGGACCAAAGTCGCGTGCTTTCTGATTATTTTACAGACCATATGAAATCGTCCATAGAAACTTAGCCTTCTCATCGCGTTGACAACTGGTTTCTAAAGATTCTGAGGCCCCACAAATGAAGGACTAGTGTTTAGCACGTCGAGATAAAGGGAAAGGAACACACGGAGAAGCATCTCCGTCGTTCCGTAAGCCCACAGGAAATTGAGGCTGCATTCATAATACTTTGCGCGGCAGCGTCCACCAGCGACTGCTAGCGTCCACCAGCGTTCCGAGGGTTACGCAGCATTGGCGATCAGGAAAGCATAGATATCGATCAAGCGCTGCCAGCGTCAACCATCTTCCAGCAGCGTCTCGAGGGCTAGGGAAACATAGGTAGCGATCTAGCGTCTGCCAGCATCTAACAGCGACCAGCAGCGTCCGGGAGTGACGAGGTAGCGCTGAAGTTTCTTCAATCGTTTCAGCAAAGCTGCCCACAGGGTCGACGGATGGGCAGATGTGGTGGATAATGCAGTTTCGCGACAAAAAAGCAGTTTGTGGATCGGGTCCGCTTGGGCACAGAGTTTTGCATTTCTCAGATTATCAGCTTCTTGTGTTCCTACCTGCCTGGTAACGTCTGTAACCTATGCAAACTTAGCATTTCAATCAGAATAGAGCGTAGCAAAAGCTCGTGCTCAAAATCTATTTCCCTTACCAAACTTTTCACTCATTTTTTGGCATCACAGGAATGCATAGCAAAAAAGAAACCCACTTCTGTGATCCTTATATGGGGTCCCACGCAACAAACCATTTCTAAAAAGCGCGCCACGACTTCAATGACCTTGTTAGGATAGTAATGGTTTCTGAATGCCATATTGCCCGTAATCATTCCAAACTAGTGTGGTAGCAGTTAGCTTGCCCAGAAGGACGGAGAACAACTTGATTGGCTCAACCAGGAGCCGATCCAGGATTTGACAATCTCACCGCGCATGTGCAAGGTGGTGCCGCGTACTGCGAGAAGAACCCCGGTTTTACCAATTTATTAACTTCTTATGCCATTACCTTATTTTGCTAAGCATGATCCTATTATTGCTGATGCACTCACCAACTCTTGCTGGAGACTTATTTAGGCCGAGCATCTGTTCACAACTTGTTAGTAAGTCCAATTTGAGAGGTATATTTCTTTCCAGAGTCTTCAACCTGTCATTCCGACGAGGACACGCAAGCGCCGAAAGCCAGGATCAACAACGATGTCACGAGAAACCGGCAGTCAGGGCACATGGCCTTCAGACTTCACTCAGTCAACAATCAGCTCCGCTCCAAGCCCATCACCGATGAAGGATATTCTCACAAAAAGTATCAGACCAAACTTCTCAAAGGAATTAGCTGTACCGCCAGCAAATCCGCCTCCACCGCAGAGCAAAGGCGTGCGTCTTTTTGTAGCTCCTTTTTCCTTTTGCTTTTAGACCATCGAATGCAAGTTCCCTTCTGGAGCCTCCCTCTTCCTTCATTTCAGGCCGAAGGTACCTCAGTAAAATTTGACAGCACTCCCAAGATGTCACCGGATAGACGTCTCGCAGGACGATCTCCAGCGATAATGGAGAATATTCCTGAAACAACTGGTCTACTTCACCAAAGGAGCAAGGTGAGCGCCGAGTAGGTTACTGACTGATGGCCCGATGGCTGATGGCTTTTCACCGGAACACTGGTGAGCAAAGGTGTTCTTAAAAGTGCTTAGGTGCTTAGTTATGATTTAATTAACTATCGGTTAGTAAAGCAAACTGAACATAACATGGTTATTTTGCACAATGACCGGTATACGATAAGATCACCTGTATCACCTGTATCACCTGTGCTCCCGTTGATCATCGAGTTCCTCGAGCGGGCGCCAGTAACGTCTCCATTCGTCCCTGCAACGTGCAAGAGTTGCCCAATGAACTCTCTCAACACGATGAACTTCATACCATTCGTTCAGAGCTTTCACGAAGAAGTCTGACCATCGCGTAGGCGGTCGTCCAGGCGTTCGCTTGACATCCCGTGGAATCCAGTCGGTGACTGCTCTGGTCCAGCGGTCGTCCTCGAAACGCATGACGTGTCCGGCCCACCTGATCTTCGAAACCTTGGCAAATGCGGCGGCGTCTCTGATCTTCGATCGTCGGCGGAGTGCGGAGCTCCGGATTCCCTCTCTCACTTGCGTGTAGCGGGAAACTCCGAGCATCGCCCTTTCGATGGCGCGTTGAATAACGCCGACCGCATGCTCATCCTGCTTTCGTAGAGTCCAAGTCTCTGAGGCGTACGTCAAGGCAGGAAGGACCGCGGAATCGAAGAGGTGGGCACGGAGCTTGGTGTTCTTCGTCTTCTTCGCTACTCCCTCGATGTTCTTGAAGGCTCCCCAAGCCGCTCGCTTCCTCCTGCTCAGCTCTGGAGCTAGGTCATTCATCATATTGATTTCACGACCTAGGTACACATAGCTAGAGCATTCAGAGATGGTCGTTCCGTTGAGCGTGAATGGGGCATCAGATACCAATCCGTTTCTCATGAACATCGTCTTCGTTAGATTCAGCCGTAGACCGATTCTTCCACACGCGCAGTCGAATTCAGCCAGCATTCGTTCCGCTTGCTCGATGTTTGGTGTTATGCGCACGCAGCGCGCAACGCCGCGATACACCACCCGCAAAGAAAGGAAATTATAAAAAAATTCAAAGAAAATGGACTAATTCAAACGTTGAATCTTGCCAGTTCAAAGGAAGAAAAGTGGCCACTGAGGATCAGTACGAGATAATTCTCTAATTGATCGCATATCCTGCAGATATGTGCCCAGTGCAGCGGCTGCCAGTCAATGGCGTTCTCTACGCTGAAATGTATCACGTCTGCGGAAACACCACTGCCCACAGAAGAGAAAGAAACTCAGGTTTGCCTGCAATAAATGCGTGCTGCGCTTCCACATATATGGGGGGGGGGCAAAAAAAGACACTTCTTCCTCGACTTTCAAGGCACTATAAGTTAAACTTCATCGAATTCTGATTGGACATTTCCACCATCAAATTCAACAACACATTGTACACTATCACGAAACTCCGCCACAGCCTTCTGGACGAGCGCCATCGAGAGATTCTGCCACGCGACCGTGATTCGGTGCCTGAGTTCAGCGAGGTCGTTGATTTCTCCGCCACTGTAGACCACCCTGTTGAGCTCCTCCCGGACCCGGTAATTGAGAAGATTGAGGTCAGGTACACATCTGGATATTCCGTCCGGATATTCATCTTCAGGTTCTCGAGCCCCTTCCATTAGAACTAGGCGAGAGTTTTTTCCTTCACCTTCAATTCCACGTGCTGGCACCCAATCCTGTAGCAGTACGAAGTTTCCAAGAAGGTACAGGCGACGACATGAAGGCAGATATTCTCCTCGAGCTATTCAATGTAACAGTCAGCGTTCACTTTCAGTCCGGGGTCACGAAGAAAATATCCATCTTCCCATTCCAGGAACTTCCGGTCCATACCATCAACCCGCGCCTTGGCGACTGCGGTGAAGATGATATCCTGGACCGTAGCGACGTTGTCGGAGCTGCTCGATGTTGGAGGTCTTCCAGATCAAGAGTACTGGTCTCCAGGTAGCTATCCATGGGTGACTCGATACAAGAAGTTTCCGCAGCTGTTTGGAGGTGACCTAGGTCTTCTTCATGGTCGCTGCGATACAATTGCCTTCATATTTTGGTGTACATGAATGTGATGGACACGAGCCTGGTCCTGCTTATCGAGGAACGTCTTGGGTATCTTTCGCATCCACGTCTTCTATCTGTGCTGCGCAAACTTTTCTGATATGTGACTCGACCAAAGTGTCCTTTGCCCCCCTCCCGCGTACAGTCTTGACCACCAGCGCATGATGGGGCATATAAGTAAGGCTGGGTTTGGAGCGCCGTCAGCCCATTTCCCACCGGCAGTTAGAGCGGGTAAGCGATAAGAACTGGTGAAGAACGATGATACGAACTAAATAATACTGTATCGCTCACCCACATCAACAACTGGTGGAAAACGAGCTGGCGCCGTGCCAAACCCCTCCTTGCTGACATGCCTCATCATCCGCAGAAACGAGATTGTGGTACATTTCTTCCAGAATATCGATTCTTCTCTTGCAGACGTTCATAGAAAGATCTTGTGAACAGCTGGACCAGACTTCCAGTGTGGAGGATCTTTGCGAGGATTTGCTTTATGAAGTAAGCAATTTAAATTAGATACTTTGCGGACACCTTAAACAAGCGTTTTACTTCCAAATGAACGGTCGAATTTCTATCATTGAAGGAACATCATTTATACCCCACAGAAGATGTGTACGATGAGAATCACGGGTTGCCGTATGCCGATGATTTGTCTGGTGACGAATTTGGCTCATATCGTTATGAACAGGCGCAGGTGGGTTTGGCCTTCTTCAGGAACTGCGGAAACAGTGGAGCTTTCTCAAAGCTCTGGAGGCCACTTGATATTGGGTGAGACGCGGTGTAACATGGGGCCAACAATACAGCTAGATCGTGGCAATATCGAAGCGCAGCGGTGTCAGCAGGCGTGCGATGAGCCCATCCGCTACCGCGTTTCCTACCAATGGTGCTTCAGGTCAGAGAAGCATTCGTGAAAAATGTCGTGGGTGTATTCATGCCCCACGACACCGCCCCGATGTACTGCTATGATTTCAACTGTACACTTGCTTGATGACAAAGTGGGGTAAAATTTGGCGCAGATCAGCTTTGAGGGTATTAAGCTGGTTCTTGTAAACAAGCCAGGCCACTCCAACGATAACTGTAAACTCTTGTAAAGCTACGAAAACCAGGGCTACACCACTGCTTGTATGACCTAGACTATCAGTGCACAACGAGTATCAATGTTTCACTATAGTACTTGTCGACGGTATAATTCAAGGCGTATTTGGAATACATGAAGCAATTCGATGATATCCGAACTGAGTTTTCTGTTGATGACGACGTCGCAAATCCCGACAACCTGCTCGATGAATGGGAAGATCCTGAGGTTCGTGGATATTCAGACATAGCGAAAGTTGAGAAAGTTCAGACCTTCGAATGTGAGATCATGCAAAGAGGAGGAGGATTCCGTCCTGCCTCCACGGGGAAATCGAAAAGCATGATTCGCGGGGAACCGCGCACGCAGTACTATTGTCATCACTTTTAAATCAGTCGTCGTCCTGCGCTCATCATGAGCGGTCGTGCAACCGGTGGACCAGCGCCGCCATTCCTTGTCCCAGTCCAACCTCGGTCCATGGTCTTTTCCTGTCACAACTGATCACTTGCTTCCATCTACTACTCCTCTCCTCATCCTTATCCACAGGTATGCCTTCATCTTAATCATTTGTTGTACACATTAGTATCGATTTACCATTCATCATATGTTGTTATTAGACTGTAATGATTTTGCCGATGTTACCATTTACCGTTTTCCTACATGAAGTTCTTGATGGTAATTGTGTTATGTCAGTCAGTGTAGTTATAGTGGGTAGGTAGTGCATGGGTTCATGCTTGTCTTCCACATAGCAAGGGGCAGGCCTTACGCAGCCCGTGGCAGGACCTTTGGGAGCATTACAACGGCGCGACGTCCCCTTGTAGGAGGGTGCGGGCCCTTATAACCCCGCGTTCTGGCGTGACCCGGGTGCACCCCGCCGATGCCAACGTCTTGTTCGCACCTGGTCACGAGAGCCACCAAGAGCATGAAAAGCATGACGCTTGCGAAAATTTCATTGAATGTTCAGCTGTGAATGTCACGCTCCATTGAAAGAAGTAGTCATGAATGCAGAATCGTCTTGTTTGGAGGCTTACCATTAGAGGTAGTGGACACGATGGCTGGAGGATGGGGCAGTTGCTGCGAACGTCATCGGTGGATAGGCTGTGAGGTGGCGTTCGGCCACATCCCACTACGCCTTTCCACCAATGCTGGAGGCAGCAGCAGCCCCCCCCCCACATCCATCTCGCCCACTGCCTTTGATTGTGACAAAAATTCTCCGTTAACAAAATACCAGCAGTGTAAGCTTCTTTGAAAACTATTTCATAATTATCTACCTTTATCAGCCACCTCACTTACTGATAGCTCCAAGAGACAGAGGAACAGTTATAATTGTGCAGTCTCGGTCAAAATTCCAAATTACTCTCCTCTTTGCATAGCATTTTGGCGAACGAGTCGCCTGCAATACTGCCCTCACGTTCAGTATTCCCAGTAGTGAGAGTTAAGTGGTATGGGTATAAGAGTGGTCTTATGATAGCAGCAAGTGAGAACTCATCCAAGCACGTCTTCCCTTTGCTGTAAGTTCAGTTCGTAGAAGCCCGCATTGACTGAAAATCCTATCATTACGGGTGGTTTTTTTGCCTTTTCTTCATTATTGAATTACTTGACACTGCCTCATTCGTATTTTGAGCTCCACTACATTCAATTTGTGATCAGCGACGCGCTTTCAATGCGATGATATGACTCCAATAAAGCCTTTCAGCAGGACGACTATTCAACGTTGCCTATGGATGTAGTAGAAAAGCAATCATCAGAGGAAGACATTAGTGACTCGTTGTTCTTCAAAGCGGAACGTATCTTCAACCAGCTACAAAAGCAGAGGCTGAAGAAAGAATACGTGCAGTGGTTCGATGAAGGCCAGGCAGTAGTGGTAGGCCGATTCAAAGGTTCGAAGATTCCAGTGTGCATCGCAAATTAAGGGTGACGAACCTGGGAAGACCGACGACGTGAACCAGCTGTTAGGCATTTGCAATGACGAAGTTGAGAAGGGAAAGGCTGAATACGAGCACAAGGAGACTCACGAAAATGTAGGACTTCAATATTTTCACATCACTAACCATAAGACTAGAATGACTTGAGGGGAAAGGGGAATGGGGACTAGGGAAGATTGAACTCATTCGTTAATCCATTAAACATAGACGTACTTTTATATGACGAGGGCAGAGATGGTATAGGATCAAGTGGCGCCGTTCACCCTCATGTGGTCCACGAGAATTTTCGGATGAACGCTCGCACAAGCCAGCCAACATTTCCTTTTCAAGGTTCGAGGGGATACGCTGATACATCGGCTGACCCTGGCGATCTATTGTGGAGAAGATATGTCATTACAAGCCCCTAAGCTTCTGATTGGAATTAGAACACTCACCATTTCAAAAAGGGCTGTCAGCTGAAAAATCATGAATAACCTGTATAGAGCCAGGATTGTTGCACGTTTACTCGACTCTCGTCTAATCTTCTTTCCCTTCTACAGTGCCCTGGAGCTTGGGACTGGGAAAGCCTTATCTTTCGTCCGCTAGCAAATTGGCTAGTGGGCACTGTCATGTGCATCACGGTAGGGCTTTTTACCTTGATGCCGTCGAAGACTAACTGCATGATCACCCCAATGGATTCTAGTCCTTTAAGTCAGCCGCTGGTCACCAGCTGCGGCAGTGTGCCACAGTAGCATGCTAGTCAAAAATGGATGGCAGTGAGGATGAAGGGTAGCAATACTCCCCGTCTCCATACTCCGCCCACGCTGCCGCACAGCCAGCCACACGCCTGACCATAGCCACACGCGCTAATTGTCTGCGCCTTCTCAGTTCTGATAGTTTTCTATAGCTGAGCTGAGCTATAGTTTCTAGAGTGCCTGTTTCGCCGGACATTCTATCGACCCAAGTGCTCCACACTTGTTTAATACTGACTGATACAGAGTGATAAAGAGTGAAGAGGGCAACTGTCACCAAGCTCGTAACAGCAGCAACAACAGATCTTTGGCTTCAGGAAGTGATATTCAGAGGTGATATGGGCTTCACTACTTCACTTCATCTACTTGCTATTCACTGTAAGAGAACCCCTATGCAACGAGCAGTTGGATCGGCCAGCTCACGTCGGATTCCCATTTGTTTTGTGGCAATTCCGAGTATAACACCAGGAAACAGCAGGGCCTTGTAACCAACGGAAAGGAAGAGCCCCTGGCGAAGTCAATCCCTGTCAACATGAGAACGAGAGCTCTGTGGGAGGGTGATTCGAATGGAGACAGACATAATCCATAAAAGAATGCAAAGTATTTTTAGGACATACTCTATCCATCTCCTTTTTTATACTGTCATTTGAAGGACGCCACTTTGGGAACTGAAGGAACTGCTCCTAGCAGCACTGGAAGTAAACATGAAACGTGCGCATCTCCTAACAACGAAGGCGTTTTTGAAACTAATGGAAGAGATCAGATGGCGGCAGCTACTGATTTTTCTGAGTGCTTCCCAGACGTTCACGTACCATTACCTGCGGGAGACTCTGTAATGGAGGAAGCTTTCGGTGACGAAGATGTCTTGGAAGAGCCGCGCTCGTTGCAACTTTCGAATCACAGGGTTAGCCTTACTTCCAGTATTGCGTATTATCAGCTGTATGCCCTTGAAAGACTGTTTCCAAAGCATATTGATCATTCAGGGATACAATCGTCAGGCAGAAGCTTTCTCGAAATATGACAAGTCGCCGCTTCTTCGGGATGGTATGACTTTTTTCCATTGGGAATGCAGATCTTTCCTCAAAAGTGTAGAGCAAAGTCCTATAAACCAAATAGGTTTCGTCTGTGACCAACTAGTGACAAACTCATCGGTTCCGTCTTCTCCCCCCGCCCCCCCCCCAACCAAAAAAAAAAGGAGAAGAGCTAAAATAAAAATTTCATTTCAGGCCGCAGAACAGCTAAATCGCTCAGTACATTCAGCATCAGACAGTCAATGGAAACTCGACGATACCACCATGTTCTTTTCACTTATCCGGATCCGACACCGCATAAGGTTATTCCTGCATCTCATTCCACGCTGCACCCAGATATTGTGTATTGGATATTGCGAAAGCAACAGTCACGCTGTATCAGTTAGCTGAACCTCTCTCAAACTACTCCTCACTCTGTCCAACGTCCCTGAAACAAGGAGAACCAGCTATCAAAAGAAAATTTCTCTCAGCCCAAGTACGACCTCCCACTCCTTCGCGACCAAATGCTACCCCCTCCCCCGTTGGGGAATTCCTAATAACGATGTCCCTCTCCGTTTGGGGAATTCCCAATAACGATGTGCCCTGTTAGGAAGTTGCGTGCAAACCTTCAAAACGCTTTCTGCCGCCGTTGCACTGAAGCCCACTATATTGCGATTCTCTTGAAACTAGAGCTCTAAAGCGGGAAAAACAGGGTTGTGAAGCTTTACGTTCGATGTTGTACTGTTCGAGCCGATCTAAACAGCTTTTTCAAGGAAATATAAAGTATAAATAAGAAAGAATATGCCGCACAAACCAGTGTTCCTAATAGTTGATCACAAGTTTTTATCCCTCTTCCCTTTAGCGGCCAACTCATGGAAAAGTCTGGTGAGATGGGTTGTGAAATCGATTCGTACGGAGAAAGAACCCTTGAATAGTCGTGTCTAGCCAAAATTCCGAACAACGCGAACCTGTCACCTGATTCCAAATTCCTTGTACTACTTCCTTTCTTCCTATTGAACCTTTGGAATAAGCAGGCTACCTCCAACCACAGCGTGTAGTTGGAATGAGTACTGCGGAAGTGCACTATTTCTAGAGGTGCGGTTCATGCTAACCTAGCTGACTAAGATGGTCAACCCGTGCTCCCCTCCGCGGTCGAGCATCACGTCGCGGAAAATTGGTTATCAGGATGTAGTTGTATGTGTTGTGTGTTGCGAATTTTACCTAATAATTAGTTCAGTATCTAGGTCTTACCAAAGCAATCGAACAAAAATCCCTGGAAACTGAAGAGGTTACTTCCTAAGAAAAAATTGTAATGCACAGAGTGAACTTCGAAGAACACCCACAGGCCGTAACAAAAGTATAGTGGACGCCTACAAATTTTGTCTCTGCAAATTGCCTTAGTTTCGATATGATACCTATGTTGAATTCCTCGAAGCCGCGAAAACATAGGAATACACTACTTCTGAGCACTTTGTGAACTACTGTACAATTATTTATTGTTTTGAAAAAGTTTCTTAATAACAAAAGTATGTGGACACCTGAGGAAGTCCAAAGTTTGGCTCCAGATCTGCAATCCATTTTTATGGTCTCTAGTCCCCATTAACCTGTATTCATACCCGTCGTGGTAGTCCTCCCTACGAAGACGAAACAGGCTTGGATTCGAACTTTCGAGTCATGCCGTAGCAGCACACTCGAACAGAGAAATTGCAAGATAGCTTGGACTTTCGGCGACATGCGTTGGTATATACCTCCAGAATCCTGATGGCTACCACTCAGTACCTGTTTCGAGGCACTCACGATCTTTGCCGGCAAAAGACATCCGAAGAAGAGTAGCCTCAAACTCCCCACTTTCTGTGGCACAGATCCATGCCGCGATGAATCTACCGGTCCTAAAAATGACAATATGGCGCTCTATTCAATCAAGTGAGCACATCACTAGAGAGACCATGAAGAAAGCTCCCTGTCTGACTGCCAGGCACCAGCTGGCAAGACCCAACTTTGCGCGTGCAAAAATGGCGACGTCGTGGGACAAGGTGCAGTTTCTTGAGATGATTGTAAATTCAGAAAGGCAACATCTTCATGCGCATTTTCTCAT